GGTCCATGAAGTTCAGGACATTCATGGCCACTCTCCCCACCATGCTTCCCCAGATATTTTCTCATGGAAGTTAGAATTCATAGCATCCTCTATGGCTTCCAAGATAAGTGTATTTTTATTGATTCCTTCCTTCCACAGCAGGGTGATGGAAACATGTAGGTGTTATTTTCAGCTGCTCCTGCTTATAAGAAATGCGTTGGACTTATTAACTGAGATTGCTTGAGAAATTTAAGTAGTTTGGGAAGGATAAAAAGAACAGCATGACCAAGTTCTTTAGCAGAAGCATGTTCACTCCATTAATACTTTGGAAGGAAATGAAGTAAAATGTGATGAAATCTGTTACTGACACAAAAACTGGGGTCAATGAATATGAGCAAGAGGTGCCATCAAAATAAGAACATATTCAACAAGGATTGTAACAGCCAGTAGATAATCAGTTCACAATTCACACATAATATATTCAGGACTGTGTGGGTTGTTTTCAGTAGCAGGAGAAAATGATGGCGGTCATATATTTCTTTGAGATAGTTCTATTTACCAAGTAGTACACAAAACTCTGTTTCTCCAAATACTTTAGGAATCACACAGCAGATGGCATTTTCTTTGTCTCAAGCATCTTCCCAATCAGTACTGTGCCCTCTCTTCACTTTCTCACAGGGACATGTTTTGTTGTCTGGTTGACTTTGATTGGCTATTTCTAGCTACCTGTTCTCTGATTCTGCTCCTAGGTGTGCACACTTTTTTTCCAACTATACTCAGTGAAGCTACCTATGTAATTTGGTTTCTGAGCTAACTGACACATGCTTTATGTTTTGGGCAGTTCTTATGATTTTGGCTATTCCAAATTGAAGCTTAACTGCCTCTTGCCATTTATCTCGAATGAAAGGAATGGTCACCCCCATAAATTTCAAGATGTAATCCACTCTGCTTAATGACAATGTTATATTAGTAGATGTGTATTAGTTAGGAAAAACAGATGTTGGCTGTGCAACCACGTGCATCTTTCTTTCATCCTTTTCCACACCTGAATATGAAGTGGCAATCACTCTTGAGAGTGAAGTGTGAGTTCTAAAGTGTTTCAAATGCATCATTTCTGTCTTCCCATAAAATAGTATATTTTTAAGACCTTTCCCAGTATCCCTCCCCACACTGTTAGGAATGACCCTCGCTCATGGCCAGTCACTAGTTGGAAGGACTTCAGTAAATAAAAACTTGGATTTTGGCCCTTCAGAAAATCATTTGTAAAAAGTGCCTTAATCAGAAAAGGTTTAAAGTGCTTAAATGAATTTCAGGTCAAACACACAGAAGGTGGCTTTTTTTGTGGTTCATAGATTCATAGATTCATAGATGTTAGGGTCGGAAGGGACCTCAATAGATCATCGAGTCAAACCCCCCGCATAGGCAGGAAAGAGGGCTGGGTTTAGATGACCCCAGCTAGATGCATATCCAACCTCCTCTTGAAGACCCCCAGGATAGGGGAGAGCACCACCTCCCTTGGGAGCCCGTTCCAGACCCTGGCCACTCTAACTGTGAAGAAGTTCTTCCTAATGTCTAGTCTAAATCTGCTCTCTGCTAGCTTGTGACCATTATTTCTTGTAACCCCCGGGGGCGCCTTGGTGAATAAAACCTCACCAATTCCCTTCTGTGCCCCCGTGATGAACTTATAGGCAGCCACAAGGTCGCCTCTCAACCTTCTCTTGCGGAGGCTGAAAAGGTCCAGGTTCTCTAGTCTCTCCTCGTAGGCCTTGGTCTCCAAGCCCTTAACCATAAGAGTGGCCCTTCTCTGGACCCTCTCCAGGTTATCCGCATCCCTCTTGAAGTGCGGTGCCCAGTTTAAAAAAAGTGCGGTTAGTTTAAAAAAACGAATTATTCTACACAATATGATAGCAATCCTCAGTAAAGGCACCACATTGTGTTTCTATTTCTATTTTTTTCAAAATTGCCCTTTGAATACTTGCAATGGAAAAATATTCATGCATTTAAGAACCCTTGACTTTCCTTTGTGTGCAACTATGTGTTAGCTGTTTTAACTTACAGAAGCAAGAGTACGTTTAGAAAATGAATCATGTGGTCTTGTCAAGTAATTGCCATAAATGATCTTTTAAGCAAGCCTAGAGAACAGCAACAAACACTGCATATGTTCCTCCAAGTTTTGCAGTAATTTAAAATGATTAAATACGTGACTTGTACAGAGACACCAAGGTTTCTTAACTATATGTATTTTAAATAGTCTTTTCAGAATATGTCAGTGTGACATTTTAGGTCCTTATCTTGCATCCTTTGTGGAAAAGGACAACAAAGATAATTAATGACCTGTATTACTTTGGTGGCAAGCTAACATTTAGCAACTGTCTTCCAGATTGTAACTGGAATAAATGGAATTCCACTTGTACATGCAGCTAGAATATAGCTAGGCTAGCACCTTCATTCAAAATCAAGTGTTTCCTTCATCCTTATGTTGTTGTTCTGGCCCTACTGACATGTTATTATTGTCTTTGCAGATGTGAAAAGCAGTATGAAGTACAAAAAGAAAAAGCTTGCTTTTTTGCTTGTTGACCCACCCTTTACTTCATAAAGTCCAGTTCTTGAAAGTGGTTAAGCATGTGCTTGAGTTCCATTGAAATAAGGTTAAGCATGTGTTTATGCACTGTGCTGAATGGGGACAGGCTCTTGTGAGGCCTGAGTTCTCTCAGTGCAGAAGTAGATCTCATGATCCTCTTCGTGGTAACATGTCTTCTGCCTCAGAAACCAGGAAAATAAATAATGGAGTACTAGCAAAATATAAATAATATTTGATTTTCTGTAGAAAAAACATCCACTGAAGAATGACATACAAATAAAATAAAAATGAAGTGCATGCTCAAAAAATGTCAGGAAAGAGATTATTATATATGTGTAACATAGCAATTTTTTTCTTTTAAATAAGCTGTGTGTGTCCAAGGGATGCTATTCTATCTTTTTATAATTTGCAAATTCACTGCTTACTAAAAGGTAGTATAATGGCAACCATCAGAATAGGAAGCTTTTATTTATCCAGAGAACAGACAAAGCAAGCTTCCTCACACTGTCTTTTCAAAAGGTGGGGGAATTAATTTTGTCCTCATAAGACACTCTTTAGCATGAAAAATGTGTTGTTTTTTTACCTGAACCAGTGACCAAGAGTTGAAATGCCACATATTCCATTACCAGTCTCTGAGATCATGTATCTCTTTGCAGAATGGACCTAGTACTGATATATTTTTTTTAATTCAGTACATTTCAAAAGCAAGCTGAAAACCCTCTATTCATTAGGTTTAAAATGTCTTTGGTTAATATTCAAAAGATTTAAAGATTTTATTATGACAATCTTTCACAGAAGGAACCTGTGATTATTGGAAATGTAACAAACAGATTGAAAATTTTATTGCAGAAGCAGGGAGTGTTTTAAGGAATTCAGATTAAAGAACAATTTGTTAAATCAAAGTCTGATTCTTGACACATAATAAGTTATCCTTGCATTAAAACTTGACTATAACTGGACATATCTACACGTGCACTGTTACTGCACAGTAACCTAAGTAACTTGTTACTGTACAGTAATTGAAAGTTACTACACAGTATGGGTGTGCATCTACATGTGTGTGCCTGTACTGTGTAGTAACTATGGTGACTTATGCTGACTTGGGAGTAAATTTGCTACCTGCATGAAGTCAACTTAGATGACTTGGGAATACATTTTCAAGCTCCTAAGTAGTTACTGCACAGTAAGGCATGTGTAGATGCCTTACTGCACAGTAACCTTATTTGTGTGGACTGACTTGGGACTAACTTTAGTTCCAAGTTAGTCCACACACAGCATTACTGCACTGTAAAGTCTGTACATGTAGATGCCAGCATAAAAGCCACTTACTGCGCAGTAAATGCATGTGTAGACACACCCACAATGTAGCATGTATTTAAAAATGTAATTCTATGCAAATATTGTACTTTCTCTTTGGTAGAAAATAATTTAATTTTTAGAGAAGAAATGAGGATATATATTTGAGATCTTTTCCTTACCAGTGTTAAATCTTAAGGTGTTATTAGTAGTTCTCCTAAGGGTGCCACAAGAGATTAATGAAAAAGATTAATGTCTTGACTTTCTGCATTTCTATTTGATATTATGGTAGGCAGTGTCAGATGCATTATTCTTTTTTAGGCCTGTATACCTTGAAAAAGAGAACAGGAACAATATTGAAAATCTGACATGGACACTTAAATATACACCTAAAAAAAGGTTATGGAAACCTATTGAAAAATATATATTCCCTATATGTGCATGTTATCTTCTCTCCTAAGATTTGTCCTAACTAAACTTCAAAATGAGATGAGATCACTCTTGTGCCTGAGAGCTGTTTGATGATGCTTTAATTTTGACACATTTATGCAAATTTCTAATCTACTGATTTTTGTGAGAGTATGTTAGTATTAATCTTATCATCCAAAAATAGAATACACTTTTACTGGTATGCTGAACTGGATTCTGATCTCAGCTGGCACTGATTTTACAATGTTCTTTTGACTACAGTGGATTTACACTAGCATTTACATTGAAATGCTTGAGTCAGGCCATGTGTTTCAAATGCTAGAAATGATGAATTATTTTAAGTTTCACCAGAGTAATGGCCATGTAGCACATGTATCAGCTGTCCTTAATTTCACTTGGCATGATTTATGTTAAAGTACAGGTTTGCATTGAATTATATGATTACAGCTAAACAACAAGAGTAAAGAAATCAGAATGTCTTGTAAGTGTCCACCCAGGCACTTGAGAATTTTTCTTTAGCATCCTTGAAACAAGGACAAAGATTTATTAGTGCCCAGCACTTTGTAACTTGTTGACAGAGGAATCTTATCTCAAAAATGAAATAAAATCGTGCCTTCATAAAAAAAAGAACCCTTGCAAGATTTTTTTCACAAGTAAAGAGGTGAGTTAAGTTCTTTGGTGCAAAAGAGAGATCAACTACTTTTATGAATGCCATAAAAATAAACTATTTTAATAGATACATAAATAAAAAAAGTTTAAAGTAGACTTTCCCTCCCAAAAAACACATATAGGTGGTCTAGCTTCTATAAAGAAACTGAACAACATACTCCAAGTGACTACTAAGTAAAATAATCACTTTGATACATTCAAAATAACTGGAGGCAAATACATAAAGAAAAAAGATGTACCCGAATCATTCGTCTTTTGCATTCTAGCAGTGTCTACAGTATTTTCTGGTTTTACAGTACTCTGCAGATTTGGATACATTAGCTAAATAAAACTCTTCTAGTGACAGCGCTAAAATAAAACAAAAAAGGGCGACTTGCATCACCCACTGGTAAATGTTTCAATATGAATGAATTAACTAACTTGTGCTGTAAAAATAAATTATTTTTAGGTACTGCAGGATAATTATATTTAAGTATTTAAACATTACATTCATTTTGGTGGTGTGCTTAAAGACTCCATATCTGTCTAATCCTTTGGTACGTAATATAAGGCACATGCTAGTTTTTTCATGTGTATTTGGATACCAGCATTTTGATTTCACCAGAAAGAAGTATAGCCTAGCACAATGAAGGAAGAAAAAAAATATTCCATTTATGTAGAACAGAATAATGCAATTTAAAGCAGCTTGTTCTCCTCCAATATTTGGGTTATTCTGGTAGCTTAATCTTCTGCTGCGCTCCATAAGAAATTCACAGCTCGATGATTACAACCCACTGTAAACTTCACTGATTGTCAGGGCCTTTTTTTTATTTTTCCATATAAATGATGTTTATCAGCTTGAGAAAAATCTGTCATTAACCTTTCCATACCACTACTGAGATATTTAGTAGTTCAGTCATGGAATTATTCCATTATGTGTGCTTCAACTATGGAATTACTGAAGTTGAGAGTCATTTCCATTGTTATCTGGAATGTAGCTGTGAAAGATAAACACTATTAGTAATGGAGAGAAGAAAGTTTTTTTATGTGGGTGTTTATATATTCTCCAGGTACAGTGTCAAGATAACTTGTGCTAGTGAAATGTGAAAAGAAATCAGAAGAGGAGAGCTTTCACTCATAGTGCACATCTGGCATTTGTACTTTGGTGGGATGTCAGAAGCTCAACAAAGAACAGCCAGACTTAGGTTTGAGCAAAGACAGTAGTCAAGCCTCTCCACCAGCAAGCCAGGAGTGGCAATTTAAGGACTGCCCTTTTTTCTGATTTGATTTTTTTTTGTTTTTCTTCTTCTTTTGTTTATTTTCTCCCTTTTTATTTTTCCCTGGTTTCTTTTTCTTCTCATCGTCCTTAAACCATGGGCCCCAAACACCTCCATTGAGCTTAGGATTACTCTGAGGGTCTTTAGGTGGATATCGAACGGGAACTGCAGTCTTATTGAACTGTGAAAGTCTCCACAACAAATACTTTACTACCTCAGGATATTTTTCAGAAAGATCCACTCTTTCATATGGGTCAGCAGTTATGTTAAAAAGCCACACTGTTTTCCCAGCTGACCAAGAAACCCGTTCATTATGCCAGCGATTGGGACCAGCATTGCTAAAAGCCTGAGGAGGGACCCAGTCACTGTATCCTGGATTTCCTGTCAGTAGTTTCCAATGGTTTACTCTAATGGCTGATTGAATTGCTGTGTTCCAAATCCCAAAGCCTGCTGTCCAGGAGCCATTCTTGGCTTTGGTGTAAATAGGATCAATGTTGTGTAAGATATCCACCCTTGGGGAACGCCTACCTTCACTAATGGTCTCCCATATATCATAGCCGTCCAACTGGATATCCTCATCGATCTGTCCTTCTGCCAAGGTGATCAGGGTAGGGAACCAGTCTGTTATGTGCACGAGCTCCTTGCACACAGACCCCTTGTTTTTCAGAAGCGGGCTATGAACAAAACCAACAGCACGGATTCCTCCTTCCCAATACGTCCCTTTGCTTCCTCTGAGGGGCCAATTACTTCCTCCAGCCATTGGCTGCCCACCATTATCTGAAGAGTAAATGATAATACTATTGTCATAGTAACCATATCTCTTTAAAGCCAGGGTCACATTGTGGACAGCTTCATCCAAGCATGCCAGCATGGCGGCGTATCTCCGCCTATTTATATTATTTATTGATCTGTAATTTTCAAAATACTTGCCTGGTGCTTGTAATGGGGAGTGAACAGCTTGATAAGCAATATATAAAAATATAGGCTTCTTGGGATTATGAGATTGTAAAATCTGTTGTACTTTTTGTGTGTACATCTGTGTTGAGTAGATGCCATTGTCATGATCCCAAGCTGCATTGTCATTTTCATACAGGTCATAGCCACATATCCCTGGGCTATCACACTTGTAGTGAGTATAATAGTCCCCACTGCCCAAAAGTGATCCAAAAAAGGAATCAAATCCTCTCTGTGTAGGCATGCATTCTTTACGGTAAAATCCCAAGTGCCACTTGCCAACCATGTGCGTTGAGTAGCCAACCTCCTTCAGCTTCTGAGGTAGTGTCATGTTATCCAGAGGTAAGCAGTTAGGCTGGGTAGGCCTTATAATCGAATGCTGAAGACCTGTGTGTATCTGGTACCTGAAGACAACAAACAAAGGAGAAATACACATTAGAGGAGGAAAAAGAACGAGAGAGAGGAAAAAAAGAAACCTATGGCCACCCACTTTCAAAAAAGGAGACATGTATAACAACAATAAAAAACTGTCTCTGCATAAAAGAGTCTTTCCTATAAATGTTATGAAGTGTTATTCCCAAAGAATAATGAGGTCATGCCATGAATTTTACTGAAGCAAGAACTGTTATACTTTAAAGGTGTTTCTATGAAGCTACGAAAACCTGGGAGTCAGCCTTATCAAACCGACTTATTTTTTTAACTATATTCTATGAATACTAAGAATGGTGAAAACAAAACATTTGACCACTTACATTTATTTATTTAACCACAAGCCTAGCTCATCAAACACTACCTCATCATAACAATAATTTGGCACAGGCTTTCAGAACACATCTTAGCAACCTTGCACAGTGCTGGAACCTCAGTGAACTGATCATGGTTTCTGAGTCACCTTCTGAGACAGGGCATATGGACAATTAATAGGAGGAAAAAGATAAGTTATTCATCTTACAGGAAGTGGAGTTATTTGAGATGTGTTAGCCATATAATTTCCACAGTCCTCCTTCCATGCCCTGGTTGACAGAATCTTGTATACATGGGATTCTGCAGTAGACCCATTCTCCTCTACTGTTTCAATGTGAAGCATGAGGAGCAATACGATACATGTACATCATATAGATACTCTTGGTCAAAATCTCTTCAAACTCAACCCATGAGATACCTGTTTATAAGCAATCACTTGAAGGAGAATGATAATGTCATCAAAAGATTTCTATTTGTCTTATTTCAATTCTGGTCATATACATGGCACTCAAAGCATCATGCTCATCAGTAAGGCATGCAGTCTACACAAATGTTCAAACAAATATTTTCTCATGTCTATCATCTATAGATGAACAGATAGTTTACCAAGATGTTTATTCATCTGGGAAAGCTTTCCTTATGCCTGCCGTATCTGATTTATAGAACATTTTGTTGTTGAATACATGTTTATGTAAATTTGTTACAAATGTCTCTTATTTTACAAGTGGTAAACAAATCAATTGCATGCAAGTACACTGGACTGTGAACATTAGCAGAATTTTATTTAAATGGTATAATGGTAAATTCTGAAATACAGCTGATTCCTATAGAAAGACACATTGAATCCATATGATTAGAAAATGAATTCAATATGATGAGTAGTAAGTACTAAAAATTAAAGCCAAATTGGCTAATATCAATTTGATACTATAACATTCAAAAACTGTAAGTTAATGCTTTAAATTTAAATAAATCTTTTCCCTGAGGATAAGAGTATGTTAAGTTCTGGAAACTGGATGGAATCATTATTTCATATCTTACTCAGTGGGCATGTCTACATGAGACATTTACTGCTGAGCTGACTAGCTCTGCAGTAATGTTGCTGCGCTTACACGTGCAGCCTTATTAGGTTGCAGTAAAATAATAAACGCTGCCATACGTTAGTACTTGTAAATACAAGTACTATCCTGCTGCAGCATTATTTACTGTACAACAAGGCACATGTAGATGTCGACGGGGCTGGCTGGGGCACAAAGGTGCTTCAGTGCAGGGGCTGCCTGCTGACTAGCCCCACACTGGAGCACCCTCATGCACCAGCCAACTGCTCTGCCAAACACTGAGCTGGGCTGGAGCAGTCCCGGGCCAGCAAGCTGATACCCCAGGCCCCCTACCTGCAATCTTGCTCAATGTGCTGCAGTCCTGGGCACGCATGTAAATGCGGTGACCAGGAGCAATAAACTCTGGCATGATATGCAGAGTTTATTGCATCACAATCATTTCACAAGTAGATGCGTCCAGTGATACCTTCCTTTTAATTCTTATAGTACCTACTGAGTCTGGTACCCTGTCATGGTGGGACTACTTGTTGCTTGCTCCCTAACCTCACAAGCTATGCCAATGATAGTTCTACCCTGCAATTACACCTAAGTTAGACAGTGAAGGATACAGATCAGGCAAAAATTTGTCTCTGGACCTCCAAATATGGAGATTCACTGTGAGGTTGACAATTCCACCCTGCAAGAAATTTACTTTTCATGGACATGGTAAAGAGGTCACCTTTCTCTATCTCAGATCCTTGGGTTAGTGGGGAGGATGAAGGAATCCACATTACAGGGACTAATCAAATCTTGCCTTGGTACTAAGATGGTACTTTGAAGAATCCACAGCTTTAGGTTTGCTTTGCATTATGTGTAGAAGGATTCTGGAATGTACATATGATGCTCCAAATTGAAAAATCAACTCATATTACACGAAAGATGGAAAATTACAGCACTGACATTCTCAGCTCACGTGTATGTGGCTGGGGACAGACTGTATTACACCGAACAAGAAAATGAACCCCAGGTGGAGGAAGAGAAGGAATTACTCTGATCATTAGGCACTGCAAAGAGCCATGTAGAACTAGAAGCCACTTAACAATAAAATACAATATACAAGTCCAAATGCAGTATATAAGAGAAAAAGTAATTTAATGCTTCATCCCTACAAATGAGCATGAGGACAGCAGTCACGGATTTTATAACATCCTAGAGGACCCCAATAGCAGAGTCACACAACATGACACCCTCATTGTATCTGCATATCATATGATACAACATTATCCGATCCAATATGATACAATTTGATATATAAATGTAAAAGTACTGACAGATGTCCGTGGACTAAGCAACATTATTGATACATATGGAACCGGTTTACATAATGAATCTTTGCCAGTGAACTCATCCTGTTGTGGCAGGATTATTTTTCCTGTAACCACACTCACATAAAAAAAAGGGTGAACATCATGGTATGAAAAAAAACAGATCACTTTGACCTGTATCTTCCCTTCAGTGTGCCAAAACATCCAGATAGATTAACAAAACTTTCTAGGTTGCCAGTGACCATCACCTGTGTACTGTACTGCATTATAAAGAGTTTACTTGAAATAAAAGTAATCAAGAACAATTCCTCAAAACTCAAAAACCTCCAAACATGAATAGAGTTTGAACTTTAGCTCTCAAATATGTCAGGATTCTATCTTTGATGATAGATGAGGATGATTATGTAAGGCAGGGTATCAAAAATACACCGGTATGACTGAGAATATATTGGGACTTTGAAGGGGTAGGAGAGAAATATGGTCGCTAAGACCACGCAGAACGCCATTACCAAAAGAAAACAGAAAATGCTTCCTGCCTCCTCAGGGATAATGATAGGAGGAAATTAAAAAATAAAAAGAAGTTAGAAAACTAGATTAACTGCTAAAATGCTGAGGCAGGTAAAACAATTAACATATGTTAATAGGCAGACCCACTAAGTTGAAGTGGCAGACAAAAAACTGCATACAAAGAGGATAATGGGTGACATGAGTTACAGCTACAACGAACCATAAAAAAAAAAAAAAAAATTCTTTCAACCGTGAAGAACAAATTAAAAGATGCTAAAGCACTTTCATTTTTATTGAACAGGTCTCTACCTGAGATAAAATTCACTTTTGACAATGTAGATAAGATGGAAGACCTTGATTTTAAATTTGAGGACATTACCTTGGGGAAATTTAAATCTAAAGCCAAAAACTACAATTCAGCAGGCCAGGATAAACTAACCATACATCTGCTCAAAGCAAGCAGTGAGCAAGCTCAAGAGAACTATTTGCGCAAGTGGGAATAGGATCTAAACATGTCACTTATGCCCCTGACAGACAGAATAAAGGTGCAATGGGATCTGATGCAGGATTCCAACAATCATGTTTCCTGCCATGCCACATGCCCTGTATCAGATCGTACAGAGCCATATTGCCAGTGCAAGGGGAGCCCAGTCACATGCCCCATGCGCTCCTGCAGCTGGCAGCTTTGATCAACTGAGCAGGGATTTCTGACCAGTCAGATGGGAACTCTTATCAGCTGATGGGGCTCCCATCTGGAGGAGCATATGGTGCACTAACAGCTCTCATCAGCTGAGGAACCCTTTCAGCTTCTGCAGCACTGGGGAGTCTTGAAAGTCTCCTCTTGCTCCAGAAGGTGGGCACTGGCCACACCTTCAGTTAAAAGTGTGATAGGAACCAGCCACAAAGTTATTATACAAAATACAACATATATGTAATAACTTTATGGCTTATTCCTCATTTTAGCATGCTATTAATTGAATAAGCGTGTGCCAGGACACTACTGTAAGAGAGAGCCTGGAAGCACTGCAGGCTAGGCAGGATGAAGCAGCAGCTGCAGGTTGCTGGGGCAACAGGCCAATGAGGCCTATTAGCAGGCACCTGCAAGCAGCCCAGGCAGCCTGCTGACCAGAAGGGGCCAGGGCCCTGGGAAGATACAAGCCCAGGGCCTGAGCTGGCAAGCTAGTCTCTCCTTGGCTGCCATAGGGTGAAGAACTCCTGGCGGCAGGGCTCTGGAAGGGACTGCGGTGCTGCACATGGATCCCCAGTAGGGTTGCCAACTCTGAATCTATTCCGGGAGGTTTCATCACATGATGTAATGACATTAATGACTATGTCAGGAAGGCAAATGCACATTACTATTACATTTAAAAAATCCATTGGATAACCGTATAAATCAGATTCAACATCTAATATTTATTTTAATGAATGCCCTATCAATTATCTCCTGGAGGACTCTCAGCAGTCTCCTGGAGATTTCTCTCTAACTCTTAGAGACTACAGGACAATTCTGGAGGGTTGGCAACCCTAATCCCCAGTGTGGCCAAGGGAGCTCTCTAGGATATGGCCCAGGGCTGGGAGGCTATCCTAGCCAAGCGGTGAGGGAAAGTTTACCCTCTTAAAGGGGCAGCGGGCTGTTTCCCCTTTGTGTTTCTGTTATAACCTGGGGACTTATGTTTATGTTGTATTTACACCAGTAGTTTGGGGTGGGACTATAGGAGCAATATACAGAGGTCTCATTAGTGCTCAAGGGGCAAGTGATCGTCTTGAGCCCTACCAGGGGCAGGCTCAAGG